CACACACACACACACACACACACACACATCTAAAACAGTAGACCTTAACTGGTTAAGTCACAGCTGCATCTCTCTTGTCTCTTTGACCTGATTTCCAAACTTACGATGTCGTGTATGTGCGTTTAAACATAACTGTTGAAAACGACATGCAGGGTTTTAAGTCTGCTCTCGTCACGTCATGGCTGGATTTGGTGAATCGTGTGTTGCAGCCAAACTATAGTGCACCATGTAAAATATGCTTGGAAAATTGAGAAATTTATGTATGTCGTATAATATCCTGAAAATGTAAAATATACTGTTGGAAAAACATCGGAGGGTTAAACATTTTCCTAATTGTTGAACTGATGTGGAACAGATACGGTGCAGAGTAAATACAAAGAAGACAGGAAAGTGAAATAAAAAGCATTACAATTTACAGTATTTTAACCCCAAAATATCCTGAATCTTTTTTATAAAAATAAAATCCCTCATTAAAAATGAATAAACAGGCAGACAGTATAAACCTACTTGTCATCATCAAAATGTCTGTATTTTGTCAGTATAGATTATTATAAAAGTCCCAAATTATTGTTGGGCTTTACACAAAAAAAAAACTGTTAAAGTTTGCTGAATTTATGATCAGCAGTCTTTAAATTAGGGGTCCAGTCAGTAGGATGTCCTGTCTGTCTACAGTATCTATGTACAGTCAGAGAAACTACAATGAATTGTTGGGTCACTTTGTATTTTCTGTCTTCAGTACCATCATTACACTCAGACACATCGAGTCTTATTTATCTGTTTTAATCCAGAAAGATCATTTAAACATGAAAACAATGATGAGAAAATCTGATCTAAAACTAAAACAGTTGACCAGCCCTTTAACACACTTTGTTAACAAAACAGCAACACGAYGAGCATCATGACGACTTCATAAATGAGAAAATCATTTCAGATTGTTTAGCATCACGTACAGCAAGAAGCTCTACACAAAACCCCCCGAGTCAGGGAGCAGGGGTCCGATCAAATCCTCCAGCAGGGCTTTCGTTTCAGCAGGACGACTATTTTCCCGGCGTATCGTAAATCTCTTTGGGGTGTCTGAATATCAGTGGCTGAGTCAGGAGAGGAGAGACAAAGACATTGTTTCGTTTATTCCAAATGCTGTAATTGAAACACCTTCAAGTAAAACTCTTCCTGTTTTTACTTACCTGGTAGGGGCCGCTGCCGCTGCCGCTTGCTTCATTAGGAATTCGATTCTGTCTGTCAGACCCTGAGGACAGAAAACAACAATAAACAAACAACCTCCTCCCATCGAGATGCTCGGTTTCAATTTAAATCTGAAAAACAGAACATCTTTTACACTGCAAAAAATGCCCATCTTACCAAGTTTTAAAACCTTATGTCCAGCCAAAAAGTCTTTTTGATTATGTTTTGAGACTGATTTACTA